CAATCGCTCCTTCGCGGTTCGCTAGCGACTGGTCGAGAAGTACGACATTTGCGTTGGCGTCGTCACACGTCACACCTATAAAAAAACAACTATCACACATGAACGCAATGCTGCAATTGCTTGCACTCAACGACCCAATAGTGACACTCGTAAGACGAGCTACTGATAATGTCAAGTGTTCAAAGCAGTAATTGATCAAAGCCCATCGTTTGCAAACTTGTTTAATGGCATTCCATCGCCGTGTCTGTGTCTTTCATTTTTTCATTTTTTCATTTCATTCTTTCCTTCACGGGTTTCCCCTGCTAAGAGGATGAATAGCTGCTCAGAGGCATATGTCCTTGGGGGGAGGCATTCAAAACAGGGTCAATGGCAGGTGACACTAAGGCTAAGTTCAGAAAAAGGAAGAAATGCTAAGGAGAACGCAAATTGCTCACATCTTCTCCCAGAATCCCTTCCTGTAACTGAGGCTTAGTCTAAAGCACAGTAATCGGCCCACTCACATGAATATCCCTAATGACATGAGCGCAGCTGCTCGCTGCGGAACGCTGTTGCATGAATGAACCTTTCGGCGTTATTCAGCCTTCTTTGGAATGTGCCAAGCACTCTGCTTCCATTTGATTTGCAGTTTTACTTCGCCTCTATGATGACTTGTTGGGATCAGCAAATATACAGGTCAGCATGCAATCAGACCAGTCTGCCAATTGACCCATCCCGGCGGGACAGAAACTGCCCTAGCTCCATGCGATTCAATGCGAGATTTTATTCCTGGAGTATGCTGGGAAACAGCACTGAATGCCACTACACCACTTCCGCCATTAAAGAGTAGTGGAAGAGACTACAATTCTTTTGGATACAGATTTTTTTAGCAGAAAATCGAGGCAAAAATGCATTTGACCTCGACAGTAACCACAGTTGTTGCGCTTTGTTTCCTTTGTCATTACACTTTTCGGCACTCGGAATCCACGTATGTTGGATGACAACCACGCTTACGTCTTTCCCACGCGACCAAGAAAGTCAACACCCTGTCACAAATGACATAATAGTGCAAAACAACAGGTGAGTTGTTAGGTTGGTGGAGGTTGGAAATGAATGTGAATGTAAATGTAATAACACATTCACTAAACCTGATGTATCGCCAACGGAAGTGATATTTTTGTAACTCCACTGAGTCCAGAGTGGCTGGTGTCGTGTGCACATTAACTCCGTAAATACAGCGTGAGCCTAATCATTCCGCTGAAATTCGCCTACGCTGTCCTACAGTATGACTTGTTGACTATATCAGTAACTTGAGGCTTACGGTTAGCTACCCAAATTCATTTACCACACAGTAATTAGTGTACACGAACGAATTAAGCACACTCTAATGTTTGTTGCTGAGACATAGTCAATATTATGTGTGGCTGTCTGACGCTTCTCGTGAGCCATCTCAGGACTAATTGCAGACAGGAACTTGTTTAAAAGGGCATGAGGAAATAATAGTAGCATTTCACATGTTTCACCATGCCATTTGGGAATATTCTTGGTAGGTCCCTTAATAAGGATGATTATAGAGACCCTCGAAGGGCTTTTAATAACAGATATTGTCGTACAATTATTTTGATGGCAGCTTCATCGTAATTTGATTTCAACAAATGGGATGAAAGGGGTGAATGAATGAATGTTACGACAGCGCAAGAAGAAGGCAAAGGAGAGATGTGTACTCACGAGAAATGAGAACCTCATGATGACATGTGATTTCGCTTGGACAAGCCCAATCCTAGGATAATGGGGGTATTTTCAGGGGAAAGCAATGTTTTACACTGGAGTGAATGCTCAAATGTCTACCGATTCCAGAGATCGAGCTGGATATGTAACGAATATTCAATCATTTATGAAAATGATTTCGAAAGCAAATTGCAGCATAGCATAGGGTTCAGTTCTTCTGTTTTGAGTTAATCATGAGGCTGGCTCCCGATTGCGATTTATGAAGAGCATAGCCGGCATTTCGCCACTTGCCCCATATTGAGGCATCTTATCTGTCAACCTATATGAGAAGCTTTGGATCGTATTCCTCACACAACATTAACACTCTGGGGAAATGAATAATTTTGACTGATAATAATGATACATGAGTGCGATGATATTGATTAACCATTTTGATGACGAGAAAGAGTGTATACAAGTATGTGATAACAAGCGAAAAGCCTTTTAGCGACTATACATTGCCTCACGTTCACGGTACAATATCATAAAAATATTCGAACAAACATTCTGTTTCTTCAAACCCTTATAAGATGCCTCAGCACTGTTAACACATCTCTTGAAAGTCACGAGCGAAATTGAAAGGCCTCAAAATTGTGGAATTGCAATTGTTATGCCGTAGAAAAACTGATCCTAGTCACATCAGGCTTTTTCAGAAGCCGGAAACCAGCTCGCATGTTAGTTTTCATACCAAGGATGCGTTTAATTTTGTCACTTCGTATGGTAAATATGGCACATGAACTAGATATTTACCACAGAAATGACTTGACGTCTTTAACGTGAGAGCGGCTCGGTGGAGTTCACTGGTGAATTCCCAACGTAATAGAAGCAAAAAGGAGATCGGACTTGACATCATGAAGTTCTAGCATTTTATCGGAGACGCTAGTGAACTATCCTTCATTCGCAATTAGAGATGGTGATCAAAGCCCCTTAGTATAAAATGAAATATAAAGAGAATGGACTCTAGATCGAACCACAAGCTCTACCTTATTTTATGAAACAACAAAAACAAGAGGAAACGAACGGACAGCAGAAAAAAGGTGCAAAAGCTTCTGTGGATTATGCGATTGTAGCCGCATTCTTCTACTCCTAATTAGAGGAACCCATCAGATAGAGGAAGATAGAGATTCCAGATGCCACGTCAACCGCATTAACCCTCCAGTAAAAAATCCTTCGGAGTACTTTTGTGGAGGATCAACGCTGCATCTGCGCGTGCTCAATCCCATTATTCTTCTTTTCTTCGCTTAACTACGAATTAGCTACAGAGGTGGGGCGGTAGTAAAGTGCCCTAGACTGGCAATCAAATGTGGTGATTTACACCCATTGGCGAGGAATAGAGAACGTGGAAACATGGACATGACCCTAGTTGAAACCGCCAGCCTCGCCACACGACCTGCAAAACTTGCATCCCTCTCGGACTTGAGCCCTGGATGGTAGGCTCATAGCCGGGTTTTTGCCACTGCACCAGGGATCACTCGATCACACCACTGGAAGAGATGTTGATGAAAGGTATGCAATGGATGTTGTTTGCAAATCTTAGACTCCAAGCGGTGTGATCCAGCAACCTTGCCAGCGGCAGCGTGGAACGTCCCCATTGAGCCAATGGCAATTTGCCATAGGTGAAGTGGTGAGCATCCACCACGTTGCTTGCAAAAGTCGCGTCACACACGGGTTTGAACCTTCGGTGCACCGTCCCATGAGCGGCATCGCTACCACTGCACTATGGAGCCCTTCTTATTGACGGTGAAAGAGTTGTAGAGAAAAGGCAATA